GAGAGCACCCAAGCTGCTTCAAGTACAACAAGCTTGGGGTGCCCGTCATCAGGGACCAGGCCATCTGGAAAGCCAAAATGAACGCTTACCTTGAGCGCCTGACGTACCATCTGATGCACGTGCCCAATCGCGAAGTCACCATTGAGCACTTGAAGGCAACTTGACTAGTAAGAAGGCTCACCTCTTCGTGACGACCGGAGGCGTGTAGGTGAGCTTGGCGGCCTTGCAGATGTGACGGCACTTCTCCGCCCCTCTGCACAGCTGACAGGCCCAGGTATCGTCCGCTTTCTTCCCACACAGGACCCACTTCTTCTCCCCTTTCAGCTGGACCGCCCAGTAATCACCAGCTGCCTTGAAACCCAATTCGGAGAGCGGCTGTGTCTTATCTTGCTCCCCTTCCGGCTCGGACTGCTGCTGTTCCTTGGCTTTTCCCTTTTCCAACTCTTTTTTGGCTTTTACCTTTTCCGATTTTGCCTTGGGCGGCAGTTTCCTCTCACTGACAGGGGCTTTGAGCTTGGTCACGTCCACGAGCTGTTGCAGCACGCAGACATGAATGCAGGTGGCATCCGAGCAGGAGGGACACCTCAGGATCCCGGGCCCATTGGTTGTTGTTGCGCACCCCAGGATCACGGGTTTGGGGAATTGCCTCTTCTCAAGGCTTGGTTCGACGAGCTGGAATCCGTTGTCCCCCTCCTTAAAGTCGGGCAGGAAGAAGAGAAAGTCCTCTGGCAAGGCCTTGCTGGTGAAGAGGCCTCGCTCCTTGATTGTTGCTGCCAGCTGCTGATAGTTCTCTGCCCGGCGGGCACGGTCATCGACAGCCAACATGGGAGGGGCGAGGAGCAGGGGCGTAGCAAGGCAGGGGCGTTTGTCAGGCCGGGTTTTGAGGGCTGTCTCCGGTCTGCGTTTGGGTTTCTGGGGTTTCTGGGCTTTGATGTCCTTGTAGGTGGTTTTGGGGCAGCTGCTCAAGCAGTCGCGCATCTTTGGGTCGGTCCCTGACGTGCTGCAGTGCCAGCACTTCATCGGATTCTGCACCCAGGACCCGTCA